CAAACTTCTCCCTCCCAATGGTGATATATTGATCATACCCCCATCCACATCCAATCTCTCTTGAATACTAGAGATCATTGACATGGACTTAACCACTACAATCATGCTCCCCTGCAACCATTGGCTCTCCTCTTTCATTGGATGAAATTCTATAATTTCCTCCCTATTGTGTCCCGTGCTCACTACTCCCTCCTTATCACCAGAGCTTTCCCCTTCAAAATTCCCAGATTTTCGTTGATTAATAGATACCCTATCCAAATCTGCGGATTTCACCTTCCTTTCTGCTTGTTTGAATTAGATAATTGATGAAATTAATATTAATTTTTTATTTTTTTACATAAATTATTATTTAAGTGCACAAGTTAAAAATAATTTTAAAAATATAATAAATACACTTAAAATTATAATAAATATACTTTAACATGTACTCTAAAAAAACCCTTAAATTTTAAGTTACTTTGCACAATATTTTTTCTCTGAAGGAGTTTTCTATTTTTTTTTTCCTTTTATTTGAACAGCCAATAAAACTTTTATTGATTTATGGAGTACAAGGTAATCATACTCATTTACAAAATTTCACCGAGTTTTTTCTAAATGCCTTTGCATTTTTGTAATGGTACACCTTGTTGGACTTTTTTTTTTTTTTTTTGACAAAGTAATGATTAGAAAGTTAATATGAATTAGTTGTTAGTAACTAGGGATTCGATTCTCAGATCGGATGAACATTTTATTCCCTCAAATGAGGCACGCAGCTATCAAACTACTTTTTAATGAAGTTCACGATGGTGATAAAACTCAAAACTCTGACCACCTCACCCAAATACTTAAAATTTGGGATCGAACTATTTATTCTAAAGATTCAGTTCTCACCTTGTTGGATTTTGGCTTCATTCATTGAGGGAGAAACTCCGTACCTCGAGCACTCCACTATCCAACAAAAAGACCGATTTTTCACAAGCTCAAAAACATCTTCGATTTTAGCTTTGGATCCCTTCAAAAACGCACCATACCGTGCAAGCTACAGTGCCCATATTACTGCAAACGAAACTACCATCCAACCTTTCTGTGAGTTTATAGCTCCAAAATGCAAGAAAAGGTTCATATAAGTATATAAACTTTGTTCTTAATTTTATTAAAAATGTGAATTTTGTGGATGCCCGTTCTAGTCCAGTGGCATTGGAACCTAGGTTAGGGCTATTCACTTCCGTGAATGACATGTTCGAGTCTCATGGATCTCATTTCCCCCCTCCCTCATATATACTTGTAAATAATGTCAAAATTGTTTAAAAAAAAATGTGAATTTTGTAAATTTTTAAATAATCTAAAATTTAAGTTTTAAATTTTAAATTTTAGAACGTTAATTTTGTGTTTTTTATTTAATAATTAATTAAATAGTTAAAAAATTATTTGTCACATTAATTTCACTATCTTAGTAATTTTTTTTTATTTTAATTACACAATAGGAAATAATTATCTTTTATCCCTTATCACATCCCATTCGCATGTCATACGACTCGAATTTAGCATCTCTTACTTCTAACAAAAGAAGATAATCACTGAATTACTTAACTCGTTGGTCACTATCTTATTAATTTTTAATTAAAAAATAAAAATTAATATTTTTAAATAAAAAAATATAAAATTGATATTTTTAAATAAAAAATAAAAAATTTATTATTTTATTTAAAAACTAATAAAATTTATAATTTTAATAAAAATAATAATATTAATATCTTTACCTATATCTTTCCTCTTCAAAATACTGTTTAAACTTTATGTACCATCGTTGGACACGACATAAGTAATACCCCACCATTGACGAAATTTCATCCAAATGTCATATGAGAATTTACACTTTTTTTGAAGGAATTATATTTCGTTCTTTGCATCTAATAATTAACCCCTAAGATAAACCTAAAGTTTGTAACCCTAATTCAATAACTCACATTTTTTTTTTTTTTTGCATGTCAAAAGTGAAATTTATTTCATGGAGTACAAGAAATACTCTTACTATGTAAAAACTTACATCAATAGCTCACATTTTTACTGGCTCAACATGTTATATATCATTGGCCTGTGACCCATCAATTGGAATCCAGTCTAATTTAGTGAACCATGATCACAAATTTTGATCATCATAGACAAATTAATATTCCACATTAATTATCTTCTTTGCCACCTACTACCAAAACACATGACTGTTTTTTTACGTGCATACATAGAACCCAACTTCACACCTTATTATATTTGTAACCCTTCATCCACTACTGGGGAAAAAAAATCTCAATTAGTACGCCGTTTTATGCCTTTTTTAAACATAAACCATCACAAAAAAGGGTATCACAAATACTATTTTAATATAATTTTAATGTAAATCCTCACAATAGATTGTGTTGCTAAAAGCAACTTTTTTGTAGTGATCATTTTTCTATTTTGAGTCTCTTTATATTAATTTATACTTTCTTTCTAATTACTCTCTCTTTTATTTTCAATGTCATTTTTTTTACATTTTTGCGTATAAATAATTAATATACATTCAGTTTATTTTCACATGGTATTTTTTACTCACAAATAGTGCATCTTTAAATCTAATTGATCACTCTCGTGCAAAACAGAAAGACTGTCGCTAGACAAATCTACGCGTAAAATCTTATGAAACCGCTTTGTTCCTCACCTTGCAAACCCACCTACGACTGGAGAGATCGTCGCAAGCCTATTAAGAAATAGTCTCCATCCAAAAATGCTCACTTTTGACGAAATTAGTTTACTCGACAGTCCACACATGCACCATCATGCATATAATTAAAAAAAAAAAAAGGATGAAAATGCAAGTTAACAACCATTTACTTTTCGAAAAGGATGGGAAGGAAGTTCGTTTTGCTCTCTTTTTTCTTTAGTAAATCGTTTTGCTTTTCTTCCATACAAACTTTCCATCCTTTTCTTTCCAAAAATTAAGCGAATTCTTGTTAATGACTAGCTTTTCCATCATTATTTATCAATCAATTATACTCATGATTACTAGAATTTTTTTAGTGGAAGAAAAGTAGGCATGTCCTGCCAAGCAACCATGTTTAGTGCAGAAAATCGGTGATTAGATGTGATAGAATGATGGAGAATGATTAGTATATATTCAATATATCAACCAAGACATACTAATTCAATAATTAAAATTTAAAATTTTAAGTTTTTTTTTTTGTTTTTATTTTAGATTTAAAAATATTAAATTTTAATAAATATATTATAAAATATATTAAATTAAAAAATATATGTATTAATGTTCTAAAATAATATGAGTGTAGACGTGTTTAATTTATATACTTATATTATAATACACATATAAATACTGTAACCCCACCTTGATTTTTTTTTTTTAATAAAGATAATGATTAGTAAATTAATTTTATTAGTTATTAGCAATTGAGGATTCCATTACCAGATCTAATGAATATCTCATTTCCCTTAATGAAATGTGCGGCCCATCAAACCGCTTGGTAGAGTTGGTAACCCCACCTTGATGATAATAAGAAGTATTATTGGCCAGCACAGAACCACTTAGGCAAGTGTAGGGCCTGTGACCTACCCAACCGGGGAAAAAAATACCATTAGTAAAATGGTGTCCCTCAGTCTCCCCCTACCTAATGCCCACAATAATGACATCTCCTAATTTTGTTATTGGGCATAATTAAAAACTATATTAGAAACAAAATCATCAAATTTTTTTAAGACAAAGAAAGGAGCAGAAAGTTATTTACTTTTTAAAATTATTATATTACCTCTTAAAACAAAATCAAGTGTAAAAAAAATCACCAAAATTTCTTTTCTAAAAACACATAGTTCTTCTTGCATATTCAGAGACCTTAACTGCTTAAGAATCAAAGAAGATGGGTGCAAAATCTGAATAATCTAAGAGAATCCTAAAAAGTAACACTGAAAAAGGGAATGCAGCTACATACTTCTGCAGAAACAAACAAAGAAATTGGAATGGCAAAAATCACATTAATTCGAATTTGACCGTCTACGGAGGTCCCATCTAAGGTAAAAGGCGTATGGTTTTGTGAGTTTGTGTACTCCCTCGAAATAATATATTTCTTTTTTGGTACGCAAATAAGAAAAAAAAAAATCCTTTGTTTGTTAGCTTTTTCCAGTTAGGTGGATATACCTTGGAGTCTCCGAAAAAGATGGTATTCCTAAACATAAGACAAAAAGCTAAACACAGATATGTACTCTTTTCTTTTCTTCTTTTATATAATCCAGCCAGATAGTTGCTGCTGCTCCGGTGGCTCCTTGATTGCAGCCAGCCATACCGCTTTAAGATTCGTTATTTTTTGACACCCTGTTTTGTTTGTTTTATACATTTAAAAAATGAATTTTTTAATACGTGGACTTTAACATATAGGTTAAAAATATTTTTTTATTATAAATATATATAAAAAGTTTAAAATTTTGTCTTAATTAATTTTGGTATTAATATTAAGTAAATAAATTTAATTAAATAATTAATAAATTAAAAATTAATTTTTTAAATATAAATTTATAATAAAAAAATATATTTAATACACACTTAAAATACATATTAAATAAACCATTAAAAATAGATAAATTTTGATAGGAATTTTCATTGATTTTTTTTCTTTTTTTGGGGTTCTCGTGGAATTGAAACTGTCTTTGCAGGAAATGCCATACAAAGAGATTATTAACCATTTAATTTGCTGACAGCATTCCGTTGTGATCCACTGTGCTCTTAAAGAATAAAAGGACGTTAGCAAATGTTATTAAAAGTATTTTTTTTATTTTTTAAATTAACACACAAAATTATCATGTTTTAATTGAAATTTTATTTTACTTTTTTTTTAAAAAAATATTTTTTTTGGCTCCATCGCTTACTCAACCCATAACATTGATACAATTCAGTTCATATCATAGCATCATCCACAATACACAATCCCCTCCTTACCATTAAAGCGACACAGACCGCTCCTTACCATCATAGCAACCTAAGTCTTCTTCCCCAGGGGCGGAGGTTGCGACGGGGGTCTTTTGAAAACTTTCAAAATTAGTACACAACCTTTTCTTTTGTTATTTCGTTTAAAGTTTTTAGATATTGTTTTCATCATGTAAAATTTTAAATTATTATCATTTAACTTTTTTAAAAGAATTTTCATACTTTTTTTTTTATCAGCAAAGAATTTTCATACTTAATAACTCAAATCTAATATAATTTATAATATTGTTATTATAACCATCATTTTAAATACAACGACAACATTAAGATTTAATTAAATTTTTTTGTAAAAGTTAACAATATTATAATCTAAATAAATAAATTTCATGCATATTGAATAACATAAGAATCAAGGTTCTTAATTAAAGAGAAACTCAAAGATCTTTTCTCTTTAAGTTTTTAAATTATTTAGGATTTTATTTTTTAATTCTTTTCATTTATTTTAGAAAGTAATTGATTAACATAAATTTAGTTGATAAAAATGTTTAACTCTTTATTTGATCAACAATTTTAATTTATAAGTACTGAAATTGCATATTCTTTCCTTCATATTCTTTATTTTATTTTATTTTTTGGGTTGAGAAAGGACAAAGTTAAAAAAAAAAAACAAATAAGTAAAAAAAAAGATGAACATTTTTTTTTTGATAGAAAAAAGATGAATATTTTAGAATAAAAAGAAGAAAATTTTAAAATTATTTGAATTAGTTAATTTATTATTTACATATTAGGTTAAATTCTCATTTTGGTCCCTCTATTTTAGCGAAAAATTCCTTTTTAATCCCTTTATTTAAAAAGCTCATTTTGGGTCTTAAAGTTTAAAATTTAACCCCTTTTTAGTCTCTACGTTACTTTTTGCACATGTAACACATCAGATAATAGAAATTTTAAAGAAAATGAACTACAAAAAAGTTTAAAATTTAATCCCTTTTTAGTCTTTATATTATTTTTTGCACATGTGACACGTTAAATAATAAAATTTTAAAGTAAAAGGACTAAAAAAGCTTCATTTTAGTTCCTCAATTTTAAAAAGCCTCTCTTTTGTCTATCTACTTAAAAAAAACTAATTTTTAATCCTTCTACTTTCGAATTTTTATTATTTAGCATGACATTTACATAAAGGATAATGAAGAGACTAAACAAATGGTCAAATTTT